TTCTGTGTTGATGGTGTGTCTGAGTGGAGGATGCCCTTCGCTGATGGATTCGTTCCATTATTATTCGTTTGATTGCGGACGACAAGGGGCAGAGAAGGGCACGTTTTTTTTCGGTGACTGGAATGTGGGAAGACCTGTTCTGAGCGGAGAACGGAGAAATAAAAAATTAGTCTGAACAGAGAACTGTCATTCACTACAGAATTTTGTCGCAACCGGTCACGAGTCTGTAAAGAGGAACGGGGCGGAAGGGAGGCGGGGAAAGGAGGGGTAGGAAGTTAAGGTATAAAGGCCTTTCTTAGAGGTGCGGAAGGGACACAGGAAGTGGGTTGTCTGGAAGAAGGGGAGAGGAAGGGGGTGGGGTTTTTCTGTCGCTGTGGATTTTTCTCATGGATTCCGAGACTGGCCCCGGATTCTTTTTTTTTTCTGTTTCTTTTTTTCGAAGACAGTTCAATGAGCAAAGGAGAACCCAAACTTTTTTTCGACTTTTTTAAAATAAAAAATCTTAAAATGTATTTTTAACTCTATCCTTTTAGAATGAATAAAAAAGGGGAGTTTAGTTTCTCCTTTTTTAATGTTTTTTATTTTGCAGGATTTCTTCTTTAAGGATGAGTGTACAAGAACACAATGTTCCGGAAACTGAGAGGTGCGTTAACCGGCTTCATTAGTTGTGTTCTTGCCTTTTTTGTTTCTCGAAAATTTCCAAGTTTAATTCAGATTCTGACGTCAGGAAGTCCAATAGTCTACTGTATTCATTTCATAAGTAATTTAAGTAATACTAAAGCAGCGCAGTTGTAATCAGTTTTTTTTTTTGGATTACAAGTAAATCCCATAATTAAACGACATTTTTTTTGGAGTGACAAAAAGATTGTAAGAAGGAGAAACGGGGAAGAAGTGAAATTCCCGCTTTTGCATATTCCTGTTTCCATGACTTTTCAACATATTTCATACGGTTTGTGCCACATTAACAGCCCTACTATCTTCCCCGCTGTAGTCTGTTCGCTAATTCCACCTTGCATTAAAATTCATGGATTACGGCCGTTCCAATATTTTCCACGGTTCGGACTGGCCGTCTACTTCAGAAATTATCAAGGGCCGCAAATTATTTATCATTTTAACGTACTCCGGCTGCTCCATTTGGACCGTCCACTTATGATTCCACCTTCTATTGGCCGTTACTTATCATTCCGTTAGAAATTATGCTAAATTTCTCTGGTACAGCTAGGATTCTTTGAAAAGAAATTTCCCCCAAAAAATTACTTTTTGAAAATAATTTTTGGTAGCATTTGGATGAACTTGGATATGAATTATTTATAATGGTCGTAATACATTGTCTGGAAATACGAAGCTGGCAGCTTTTCCAGTTGCTTTGATTAGTACTGCACCGGCCTAATGGTTATCCCACTGGGATCCTGACGTTTAATTTCCCTCTTGAAAAGATTGCTAGCTGAACGATACTTCCAAAAAAGCATTTACAAAAAAGCTTTAGCCGTT